AAAGTTATGTATTTTATAAATTATGTTATTTATTTAATATAATGTTAAAAAAATAAAAAATAAATAAAAAAATAAAAAAGTGAATGTTGTTAGTCGTGACCATTTCCTATGTGGAGTGGGTTGATGGTGAAGGTGACGTGACGCAGAGGTGACACCACTTTTCCGATGGATTAGTTGTGACCACCCCACATAGCCTTATATACTTGTTTACGTTGACTTCATTTATCTATCAAAACCAATGTGAGATCAAGTAATAGATTTTTTCTTTTCTTTAACACGTGTCTAACATTAATTTTCAATGGGAAACAGATGTTTTTTTAGTATATATATATATATATATATATATATATATATATATATATATATATATATATATATCTTAATTCAAATAATAATAATAATAAAATACGAGTCTTTTGAAACATAATGTGTTTTTTGCATTCTTCAATTTATCATTAAAGTATTATATATATAAAAATCTGATTATTTTAAATGCAATGAGCTTGGGTTCATCATTTAGATATTATATTTTAAACATTTGAGACTTCCTAATAATAAATCTTCTTCCTAAACATACATAAATCAAAATATCAAAATTATCTAAAAGAGTATTAAGTAGGAATTGAGTAAACTATCATATACACGCTATGAAATAAATATCAACCGAAGTATCAAACTTATAAAAAAATCGTTAGATTGATACTATACTGATCATCTTCTTAAGTTTCAAATGCAATACTAATAAAAATAAAACATCCTAATAGTTTTTTAATGGTAAAATTACTAATCCAGCCTAAAACACTAATTATCTATCAAAAAATAACAAAAAAAAACACATTACCCAAAAGTAACCCACGAAATAGTAGATTGATTAGGGTTGACTACGGTCAACAGTAGAAAACTACTCTTTCGTGTCAATGTGCTACTGTTTCCCGGCCCGTCTACTCTTTCGCGGCCCATTGGCCCATAGTATATAATGTATAATTTTTCAGATTAAGTTATTTTGACTATTGTTTTCTTGGTTTTACCTATATTTTTCTCTCAATTGAGCACCCAAAGAACAACGAGGTAGTTTTTGTATATGAGAATAACTTTTTTTTAAAAAAAAGCGAAAAAAAAATATTAAAACCGTAGGTTTCGTATGAAGCCTACGATTTTATTTATTTATTTTTATTTTTATTATTATTATTATTATTATTATAAATTGTTGTAACCTCATAAGTCATCATATATATATGTTATGATTTCATGATTTTTTTACAAAAACTTCAAAAAAAAAAAATTTAACGAAACCGTAGGGTTTTTGGTGGCTAAGAGGAAACTGTATACGGTTTCCAAAAACCTACGGTTTTAAAAGTTCAAAATGGTTTTTTTATACTTCTCACGAAACAATAGACCATTTGGCGAAACAGTAGCTCACTCTAATTACCTACGATTTCGTGGGCTATTTTGGGATAATTCATAATTTTTAGCTAAAAATGGTTAATTACTTCCTTAAGTAGTAATTGCCCATTTTTTAATATATATATTATATATATATATATATATATATATATATATATATATTAAACGAGACGGATAGTGTCATACCCGTCTCCGACCCGTACCCGCTTCGGATATGAAAAATAATCTCCGACACCGCACCCATTACCCGTCAAGACGAGGAATACCCACCTCGTTCGAATCAGGTATTCACGGGTACCCGAATCCGTGGGTAAAACTTGCATCCTTATTTGTGATGCTCAAAATCTAAAAAGCGTAAGTCATTACTTAAATTATATGGAAATTACGGAAAATGAACATGGAAATTGGAATTCGTAAATCATATTTTGGTGTCAAATCCGATCCAAAATAATAAAATATTAGATTATGTCCCGCGTAAAACGCGGGGAACATATAAAAACACATATAAAGCTATAAAAAAACAACACAATAAAAAAAAATAAGATAATGTAACATAAATAGACTTTGTATTATTGATTATATTGAAATGTTTAGTACTTTTAGAGGATGAGGTGATGAATAGTACATTTCCACGAATATTTTTAGGAAGCAATTAGTTTTATTTCGGCGTGCTGTTTTCGATAAAAATAAAAATATGTTATGAGTAACAATTGTAAAATGGTATGACAGACGACTTTTTTAGATAATGGATTGTGGAATAACACTGTTGAATCGAACATGTACACCAGTCACCACCTAATGATTTTTATAGCATATTTTGATCCTAGAATGAAACATGATTACGTAATTACATAAAAAAAATAAGTATCTTGCAAAAATTCTAATAATATGAAATATCGTTGTATAAACAAATCGTTTGATCATATCTCTATTATATGATAATCTTATTTAGATTAATGTTTCGAAAGCTATATTAAAAAAGGAAGAGTGACTTATTTCTTTTAAATTATTTTATCCAAAAAGTTAAACTATTATAAAAAACATAACATTTCCGTAAGTAATATTCTAGTCGATTGATGGTGTTTGACTTAGATTTTTTAATGCACATAACATAAACAGTTTTTAGGCGACAATTGGTTTTCTTTCGACAGGGTACAAATAGTGTTATTTTTAGCAATGGGTATGATTAGTTTTATTTCGTTGAATAATTTCTACCAAATGGTTCTCAAAAACCACGTGATAAATAGTTCACAATAAATATTAATTGTATTACGTAATTTTAAATTATATTATATAGTTAGAACATGTATCATTATAATAGTCTTTCTCATATTATTGCAAGCCATGTTAATGTTTTTTCATTGGTAGTCATTGTGTATTATTCACTTATATTAAAAAGTTATAATTATGTTATAGAAATATGTTCCATTTTATAAACAAAATTGCATGACACTTCATTTCATTCATATACAAACCATGCATATATTGTAAAAGTCATGGATTATAAATTATATCCTTCCTCATTTTATTAAATTAAAACATAGATTTTCTCTGATATAAAAGGAAACACTTTTTTCCATTTTCATGACTTCTAAAAATATGACTACTTTTTAGTTGTTTTACAAATCACATGATACTATACTTCAAATTAACATAAAATAATTTAAAAGGACCAATTTCAAATAGCATAAGATAATAATGCCTTAACAAAGAAGATTGTCTTTATTAGAAACAACCCACCATGGTAACATTTGGATAATACAATAATGACAACATTTAAGATAATATAATAATTTGAACTTCAACTTAAGTGCTATGGTTATAAGAAATCTATTGTGTTCGTTTGTGCTTTATTTGAGATAAGATAATGTAAAAGACTTTATAAAAAAAACTTAGTGGTTTTCTTTTTTACTTGATAATTCTTATGTATAATATATATATATATATATATATATATATATATATATATATATATATGTGTGTGTGTTTGTGTGTGTTCCTTTACCTTAACATTCAGATTGTTTTGATAGGCTAAGTGGAAATAATGGATTAGTTGTTGTCTCCCACCCTTTTTACTTTTTGTTGCGCCACTACTGAGTAATCTAAACTCTACCCATCAAAACCCATGAAAGAGCTAAAAAACAAAAAGATTAATGAAAATAATGAACTTATAGATTTTATTGAAGACGTAGCCATGGTTGACAAAAATAACCTTTGCCTTCAATTAATTACATGTTATGACTTGTTAGCTTTTTGAAAATATATCGAATTATAACATTGTACTTCCAAAGTACAATGCTTTAATAAGAATATAAGACTAAATTAAGAAACATAAAAAAAATTAACTGCTATTTCTTGAATTTAACCAATATTATCTTTAAAAACATACATAGACACACACACATACAATCAGACTCACTGACACATATACACACCACCCAAACAGACACATAAGACATATACACACATATGACATATACCATACACGCAACCAGAAAAACACCATATCAAAAAACTAAAATAAAAAGATACATACATGTTTAATAGATACACTAAATCCAGAAATCAAGAAACTAAAACTATCAACTACATCCATGTTACATGTTACCTGGTAAGAAAAGAGAAACATATTCCACAAAACAAAATCAGGTGTGTATAGAATCATTTCTTTCAACCATGTGAATTAAAAAAAAGGAGCATTGCAAATATATTGTGAAAATTTTTCTTTTTTATATGATATCCTGCAACGATTAATCGACAAACATAAATGCAATTTTGAAAGGAAGAAAGTTTTGAGATAAGTAGACGGTAAGAGAAATACTTTCAAATTAAAACATACCCGAAATGCTTATCAGGGTCATTGCCATCACAAAATCAAAAAATGAAAAGAAGAAAAGAAAATTGCAACAATCACAAAACATAAACAACATAAAAATGGGGTTTTATGATTTACATACCATAGATGGTCGGCCTGAAACTATCATTTTCTTGGGTGTGTCTATCATTCCATACACAAATGTAGAAAAAAAACCTGAAGAACGAACAAAAAAACCTAAAAATCAAATAAGATCTATAAAAAATTAAACATAGATTGTAGAAACAGGGGTCGTATGCGATACCTTAGAGCCATTGACCAATGGATGATTTGCAGGACTTTCTCCCATTCGTATGCATGAATGAAATACACTTAAAAGAAAAAGTAATTTCTTTTTCTTTCTTTTTTCGAGCAAATTGCATTTTGGTCGCTATTTTTTGCAATTTTAGTATCGAAACTTTTATAATGCAAATTTGGTACTTGTTTTTGTGTTTCCATTGATTTTATTCTCTATGTAGTGTAAGTAAATAACCTAGTTTTTTGCTCCTTTTATTCCAATCCTAAGTCTATTATTTTAAGCATATGCAACTTTAACGTACTTAGTTTGTATCTCAACATCACACAACTATATCAAGATCCACAGTCCACAAATTTCTTTAGTATAAAAAAAGATTAATATACAATATATGCAATATAATGAATATGTCAAACTTTAACAACAAACATAACACATTTATATATATAAGCATTACTATAAAGTTAACTTAAAAAAAAAAAGAGTGGAAAGCATTATACACAATAAACACAAATGCCCAATCTTCTCTCCCTCAAGGTTTTCATTTCACAATTGTTTGAATGATAGCAACTTTTATTAACTCCCATTTCACAATGAAAACAAATGACCAATCTGTCCCTCAAGGTTTTCTTTTCACACTAAAGCTATAAAATATAAATGCCGGTTTATACACACAAACCTCCTTGTCCGTATCAAAAACTATATATATATCTATAATCCTCCACAAACCATGGGAAAAGGGCAAAAAAGTAATTTCAGACAAAAATCTTATGGCCTTAATCTCCATCCCCTTTCAGCAAGTGCTTCATGTACTCGATTTGCAGCCTCTGCAGTGTCATTTAAAGGCGAGTAACTCCAGCTTTCCGACATCTACAAAAAAAAATTATATAAATATTTTTTTATAAATAAAAAAAAGTGTCGCTAAAATTTCAAGAAGATGAAAATAGCAAACCAACTTACACCCTCAAGACCTGTAAATGGCCTAACAAGACCTCTTTCTTTTAAAGTTTTATGAAATTCTCCAAATTTCCATTTACATCGATCAGCTGCAATCACATATACATGTTTTCTATAAAAAAATTAAAAAAAATAAAAGGAATAAAAGGAAATTAAGTACAATGAATGGTTGACTTTTTGACTTTTTTGTTAAATGCTTTACCCAGTGCTGCACACTTCACTCAACATGCTGATTGAATCTGCTGAGACAATGAATGCATCTGCCCATGCTAAATGTCCCATGTGTGGATTTGGTTCTAAATTTATAAGATTAAAAAAAAAAGGATTGAAGGAAAATAATAGTGAAAAAGATTGGAATTTAATCACGAGGATGTTTTTTAATAGTTGGATTAATTACCTTCGTTATCCCATATATAGATTTTTGGAAATTCTGCGAGTTCTTTTCTCACATAAGTTGCAATCTGTTGATATATTTGTAGAAGGAATGATAATAATAATACTAAACAAGATGCAACAAACAAGTTAACATAAATATTTATTTTAAAAAAATAAAATAAAAAAAATAGGAATAAATAATGTATTCAGAATAAAAGAAATTATACCTTATCTGGAGTTCTTCTTGAAAAAGAAATTCTTACACTCCCACAGGTATCAAGAACACCCTTCAAATAGGTAGTTAACTGCTTTGCAAGGTCTGTACTATATATACATCGGCCTTTTTTTTACAGAAACAATAACATAAATAGAAGACAATATTTAATAATTTAATAAAAATAGGATTAATTAATAATAATTACTTGTGGGCCCCCCAATGTTGACCACGATTAAGGGTTTTGGTAAAGGTGCAAACTCATCATGCCAAGCAATAGCTGCACTGCGAAGTACAACAGAATCAATTTGATGCAGTGATCCCAATGTGAGTACCTGATTCAATACAAATAAACAATTTTTTACAATTTTTAATCCTATAATAGTTGTTACTCATTAACACAAGGGCAAAATGGTCATTTACCCATTCACCACTTGCTCCAGACGGACATAAAATTTATAATAGTTATTGAATAAACAGTCGTTTGTTATTCAACATTGCTTCTAAACAAAAGGATAATATGGTCATTTACTCATTTTCAAACAGACAATGTGTATATTTATCCATTCAGCACTGACTCTAGAGTCTAGAGTCTAGACAGACATGAT